TACCCACTTAATATGACAAAAGTCTAAGCTTGAGTAACAAACAACAGAAGATGAAGGGGATACAAATCAAAAATGAAGAAGTCAAACTATCTTTATTTGCAGATGATATGACTTTATACAAAAAAAAAAAAAGAAAATTTTACAGGTGATGAACACTTCGGGCAAAGTAGCAGGACAAATAATTAACACAAAAATCAGTAGCCTTCCTGATAGTAAATGAAAGACTGAGAAAGAAATCAGGAAAACAGTACCTTTCACAACAACCTCAGCAACACCAACCAAAATATCTTGGGATTACTGTAACCAAGCAAATGAATGACTTGCATAATAAAAACTTTAAGACATTGAATAAAGAAACTGTAGAAGACCGCAGATGTAAAGACCTCCCACATTCTGGGATCAGTAGGATTAATATTGTGAAAACAGCCATCCTATCAAAATAAAACTACAGATCCAAAGTAATCCACATCAAAATTCCAACATAAGTCTTCATAGAATTAAAAAACAAAACAGGAAAAAGTCTTTATCAATAATAAATCTGATAGAGGGTTATTATCTAGAATATGTAAGAGAAAACTAGAGCAAGACAATAAACAAACAAAAGAGTGAACATTGAGAAATGAACTACCCAGATTTAAAAATGGGGAACAGAACTAAGCAGAGTTTGGTCAAAAGGCGAGACACAAATGACTAAGAAACACTTTTGAAAATGTACAACATTCTTAGCAACCAGGGGAATGCAAATTAAAACTACTTTGAGATTTCACATTACCTGAGTCAGAGTGATCAAGAATAGTAAAACAAATGACAGCACATGCTGGCAAGGATGCAGGGGAAGGGGAACAGTTACTCACTGCTGGTAGCAGTGCAGACTTGTGTAGTCACTATGAAAATCAGTGTGAAGGATTTTCAAAAAGCCGAAAATTCATCTATCACATGACCCAGCTATACCACTCTTAGGCATATACCCAAAGGACTCTACATCTTACTACAGAGATACTTGCTCATCCATGTTTATTTCAGCTCTATTTATAATAATTAGAAAAAGCCTAGATGTGAACAGGATCAAGAGTGGAGATGGAATCTTTCAAGGAATGTAGATGGAATACACTGTTGGAATGAAATAAAGGGCAAGTTAGAATAAATGTGGAGGGGGTATGGGTGAGCAGGGCAAAGAGGGAATGTGAGGAGGGACAATGAACACTAAAAGCCTTTTGAAAAGCCAACTGGAAGACTGCTACTGTAGAAGCTTCCTAAACATATACATAGTGAAAGGAACTTAAATGGAGTCATCACATATTGGAGTGGGAATGGAGACAACAATTACTACATTAGACATCATATGCCATCAAGTAACATTTTCAGTACCATGAATGGGTTACATCTTGAGTCACTGGTCAAAGGAGTCCCATAGACTCTGAAAGTATCAGAAACTATTGACAAACTTATTGGTTACTCTCCAAAACCTGATGGTGAGACCCTAACGCTAAAGACACCACTTAATTATCTAACACCGAGAAACTGAACTTGTGCCCAACTAGAAATTCACCCCTGCTTACCAACATTCATGGTGCTAGAAGGTAAATTGTGTGCTACTGGAAGTGAAAGGTAATCATTAATTTCACTAAACTACAAATCTTGATACCTGTAACTTCAACCTACATGCAGATTTGCCCACTATTGCAATAGTGGTACGAATATGTTGGGAATAACCAACCACTACTTGATTGAATTTAAGGTCCACTTCACGAGATGAAACCTCCACCTGACACTGCTAATAGATCAAGAACCTGAGACTAGATAGGTCATGGGCACTAGGGGAACTCCTATTAGTATTATTCTGTTAAGTAACATAGGAATAAAAGAATTTCTAATGACACAGTACTATACTCATAGAGCAGTGCATTGCCCAACTCTTATCAGAGAAGCTGCTTCTTGTGGTAGATGGTAATTAATTAAACAGAGACTCACAACTGGACAATGTGCACAGAATAAGTGGCTTTGGAACACTAATCCCTAAATGGTGTGCCTTTATCACACTTCTCCCCTCAAGGCTCAGGGATCTTTTTGGAAATGGAGGCACAAAGACTGTAAAAGCCAGAGATTAAGGATGATTCCAAGGAAACAGCACCTTCCAGATACAACATCACTCATACACATATGAATGCACATAGGGTATAACAGCAAGCAAAGATGTGCACAGGTTCAAAACAGAGAAAACACCAGTATTGAGAAGGGAAAGTAGACTCAAAGTCCCACTTTTAACCAAGAAGATATTTGCAAAGATAAAATGCTGAGAAAGGGAAAATTAGTTTCCCCCAATAGAGGAAAAAGTCATACTCCAAGGCAGGACCATGCCCAGAAGTAGCTAGTCAATGCAAATGGACTCCATGTTTTATTCTAGTTGTCTGTTTTGTGCGCTGTTTGTTTCATTCTGGTACTTTTTGTTTTTTTTTCACATGGTTTTTTTGATTTTCTTTTTTTGGTATTTATTTTGAGAGAGAGAACATGAAGTTGGGTGGGAAGGGAGGTAGGAAGGATCTGGGAGGATTTGGGGGATGGGAAGTATATGATCCAAATTAATGAACAAATAATATTTTAAACAAAAATAATAAACATAACTTTATGAAAATAAACATAAGAGAATTGCTACTTAGCATAAAGAAGTTTTTCCAACTTCAAGAGTTCAAGGCAGTCTGTCCGAAAGTAGATGAACACTGTACTTAATTCAGGTCCTTACGGGATCTGCTGCTTTAACAAAGGCAAATGCCCTAACACACATAAAACAGACATGTAAATGTATTCACAGCAAATACTATAGTTAGACATTCAATAATTGTTTTCAAATACAGATTTTAGCATTATATTTTAATATAAACATGAATGATCTTGTGTTTCTTGATCACAAACCAAATGAAAGTACAGAAAGAGACTTAAAAAACTTCCCTTTGAAGGTAGGAGTTGAGAATTTACTAAGTATCTGAAATTGAGAGTCAATCTAGAGCTGATCAAGAAATGAATCTACACTAGTGAATTGAAAAACTAAATAATAGGAAGCAAAAAATTACTTGTTAACTAAAACTAAGAACAATACAAAATATCAAATCTATAAAGTGTCACATGATTTTAACTTAAAGATAAACCAAAGTAAATAGCAAAAGTCTTTGACATGGAGGTTTCATTCAAGGTAGCCAGTCCATAAAGAGAAGACCAAGTGAGTGTCAGGGAGCAGGTACGTAAGTGTATTTTCACATTTTACAAGAGAAATCTATAACTGTTGCAAACAAGAAATTGCTAGAAATGTATTGAACAACAGTAAAAAAACAAATACAAAGAAACAATTACTATGGAGCAAAATAACAGAAAAGACTAAAAAATGTAAATGAAAACTGAAGTTAGCAATAGTCATCTTAATATTAAATTATAAGATACTACATTTCTATTACATTTATTGAAAGACATCAGCAAAATTGATGGCTAGGATTATCAGTTTTCTTTTGGATTTTCTTCCATATTTGTCTATGTGATTTCAAACTTCAAGAATTGATCCATTAATTTTTTGTATTTTTTTAAAACTCTGCATATCAACATCAACTCCTAACTAATTAAAGAGGGATAAAGAAGGTTACACATAGTCTAACATATAATTTCTAATATACTCTAGGTGAACACGTCATCACGCTATCACAATTCTCTTCCCTGCCTAACTGGCCTGAAAATGTTGCCAGTGAACTGGCTCAAAACTCCAATCACCCCTTCTGAGGGTGGCTCAGTAAACATTGAGGAACAGGGGACAGAGAGACTGCAAGAAGGAGATGATGGGGAGGGGCTGTGAAAGCTGGTATCAGGACAAGGCACAGCTGTTGCACTCATGGACTCACAGAAGAGGTGGTTATCTGCAAGACTTGCTTAACCACATCATCCACATTCCATTATGGATGGGGGTGGGACTTTTGAGGCCCCGCCCATTCACAAGGGCTTATAAGCAATTCATGGTTGCTGGGGAAGAGTATATACCTCACCAATAAGTTGCCCCTGATCAAGTAAATCAGCCCCATCCATGCCATCACATGCGTGCACGCACACCCACACACGCATGCACACACACTCACATATGCACGATCACAACAAAAAGACAGTGAAGTAGAAGGAGGGTTTTTCGGGAAGAAGGAACTTGAAAGAGTAGGAGTGGGTATAAGAGAGGATGGAGGAAGCCATAAAATCAGAATACATTATACATGTATGAAATTGTGAAAAATAGTAAGTAATAAGTAAATATATGATCAAAGCAGAATGTAACCTAAGCCACAAAGGGCCTTGAGAACTTAATGCCATTAGACACCATCTTCGTTCTCATCCCAGTGGCAGCCAGATTCTGCTAAACACCAGGCAAGTGGTATTTCCCTCTAAAATAAAAGTAGTATTTTTAAGTATTAGACTTATTATACCCAACTTCACTGGAAAATCCCTTTAGAATAAGTGATAAGAAGGTTGAAATGAAAGAGGGTGCTCCCATAGACTGAGCATTCTTAGAGACCCAAGCTTATCTCCTATGGAGGAGTGGATCAGCTATCTTTGACCTAGTAACCATAGACAAATCAGGTCAACGCACTTCAAATTAGTCTCCTCTTGAGAAGCAGGTTGTGAAGACAGGTACAAATAACCCAGTGTTGATTCCATATCAGATTAGGAAGTTAGCAAAGGAGAGTGATGTCAACTCTACTGCTACTCTCTCCTTTGTGGTAGCAAAGTTTACTTAATTCCTAACAAAATAATTTTCAGGGTAATAAGAAGATGATTCTAGTCTATCAAAGAGAAGGTATTTTTGATATTCTAGTTCAAATAGTTTGCATACTTTTACTTTACACTACTAGGGTATGGTTTCTATACTTCATTAGTAACCACACATGTATAGATAAGAACAAAACTAAAAGTGAATTATATCACATAGACAAGAGCATGCAACTCTACACACAGACTCAATTGCAAGAAAAGTATACCTTCTATCCCTGTGATGATGCTCAATGGTCTGACTGTATCTGGAGCGAGGTAGAGTAAGAAAATGACTGCAAGCATGGCAGAAACAAGAATAAAATGAGACTCAGGAAAAAAGTAAAAGGTACAGTTTAGTTATAAAAGTTAGAATCAAACATAATCAGATAGTAAGCAAAGCCAATGAAATTGCTACTGGAAAGCTTGGCCATCTTCTCAATGCCCACTGGAACATGGCAGTGTAAAGAATAAAATAAACCGAACGTTCTGAAAGTAAAATGCAACAAAATATAAGATTTAAATTTTTTAATTAAATGATAAAATTAGTGTTGCATCAATATATTGAGCATCATATTTTCGCAAATGTTATATTACAAAGATGTTTTCCTTCTTTTTTGGAGAAAAGGTGAGAAGAAAAAAGTAGTAAAATGACCAGCAAGCAAGTTAAGGGCACAGAGGTGATACTGAATACCTATAATGCTTAGGACATTTCATGAGGTTTTATTTTTCTTTTATTGTTCCATCCCTGACACTGCTTGAATCAGGTTTCTGCGTCTTTGGAATAAGTTTCCTACCTTCAAACCCTCCTGCCTGTGACCCAGTTCATTCTTCACCGTTTGTACAGACTGTCTCAACCCCACCCATCTCCATGTCACACAGCATGTCACTAGCTTCCAGCTAGGTACCACAGACCACCCAGCACTCTACGTACAGGAGGCGGTTCCCAACTCCACAACCTGTTCATGCTCGTCATCCTGGCACGAATGCCTGTCATTCCAAGCCTGTCTCTACTCATTTGCCTTTGAAAGTTCTCCTCATCTTTAAAGTCCAGATGCTCTTTGAATCCTTTCCCAATAAACCCAAACAAGTAATTTTCCTTTCTGTTCTAACAATATTAGACTCAGTCTCATAGCATTTTACTTTCTATAATTAGTAAATATAAAATGATATGTCTATTATACCAAGATAGTATCATTTTTAAATTTCTGAACACAATGGATGACCCACTAAGGGCTTATGGGTAGACATCATATTTTAATAATTAGTTTCCTGATATAAGGTATGAATGGAGGCCAGGTGGTGGTGGTGCACACCTTTAGTCCCAGCACTCGGGAGGCAGAGGCAGGTGGATCTCTTTGAGTTTGAGGCCAGCCTGGTCTACAGAGCTAGTTCTGGGACAGCTAGAGCTATACAGAGAAACCCTGTCTCAAAAAACCAAGGGGAAAAAAGGAAAAGAGAAAGGAAAAAAAGAAATAAAATGGCATCCGTATCTGAGGTAGCCCAGAGGTTTATACATTAAGGCATTTCCTTTTTTAGTATATAAAGCCAATATGTGAAAACTTACAATTTATCTTCTGATGGTTAAGCAGAAGACAGCATGAGACATGAGGAAGGAAGGAAGTCCCTAATCCAGGAATCTGTCTAAAGGCTCTGCCACCTGAGAAGCAAGAACTCCAGTGCAATCACTGTTTACTTTGAAAGGTGCTAACATGAAGCAATATTCTTTGCATAGACAGATGTCTTGTATTAAAACAAGAAACCAGCCTTAAGGCCTGAAGGTGCATGGCCACAGTAGGTCTCGTTCTTTTCTCTGGATGTTTTGAGATATTCTAAAAAGACTGCTACCTTTGTTTGTTGTAAATTATGCTACTTTCTGAACCGCTATGATCTTATCAACTGTAATCCCGACAATAATCCTGTGGAAACACCCTGAGATTTCATTTAGACCCCTTAGTAAACTACTGAAGACAGTAACTTCAAAACTCACTAAAATAGTATAAATGATTATTATAAAAACAATGAAAGGTGATTTTCTCCTAGAGACGCCCACACCCAGGTTCTGTACTCTTTACTTCTGAGCATCTATCTTTTTCTTTACCATTGTTCTTAAATACTATATTAACATATCACTTATTTAACCCCAAACCGGATTAGTCTTTACATTGTTCTATATGCCAAAGCCACACATTTAGTTAGCCAGAGCTGAGGTCCCTAGAGACTCCAGGGAACCCTCCAGCTGCTGAGGTCCCTAGAGATTCCAGGGAACCCTCCAGCTGCTGAGGTCCCTAGAGACTCCAGGGAACCCTCCAGCTGCTGAGGTCCCTAAGAGACTCCAGGGAACCCTCCAGCTGCTGCTGATGGCGGCATGGAGCTATGTCTCCTCCATTCCACTGACCCTGATTTTAAAATTTTATTTGTGATGCTAAAATCATACTTATGGGAAGGAAAAGCAATCAGTATAAAAATATAACTGCAGCTGGGTGGTGGTGGTGCATGCCTTTAATCCCAGCATTGAGGAGGGAGAGACAGTCTGATCTTTTGAGTTGAGGCCAGGCTGGTCAACAGATTGAGTTCTGGGACAGCCATGGCTACACAAAAAAACTTTGTCTTTAAAAAAACAAAACAAAAACAAGCAAACAAACAAAACCCCCAAAACAAAAAACAACAAAACCCAATTTTATATATATATATATATATATATATATATATATATATATATATATATATATATATATGCTGTGATGTTATTAAAAAATATAATACTCGCCGGGCGGTGGTGGCGCACGCCTTCAATCCCAGCACTCGGGAGGCAGAGCCAGGCGGATCTCTGTGAGTTCAAGGCCAGCCTGAGCTACAAAGTGAGTTCCAGGACAGGCGCAAAGCTACACAGAGAAACCCTGTCTCGAAAACCAAAAAAAAAAATAAAATAAAATAATAATACTCTCTACATACATTCTAATAGTAAGTTAACTCCTATGACTAAAATCTGAGAAAGATTTCTTGTTCTAAACCACATGTTCATCTCCCCTCACAAATTATGCTCTCAACTGTAGTAGTCACAAGGTTACTAAAGAAACAATGAGTTAAAAGGTGTAAGGAGGGCCAAAATGAAGAATGACCGTAACCTATTTACAGTGCATTCTTTAAACTGATAATCTGCATGTAAGTGCTTGCAGGACTTTTAAACAGTATTTACTTTTCATGACAGAGTAAGATTTTGACTAATGATGATAGAGTCAGACAGATTAAAGAATCAAAGACCCAATAGAATATAGATACATAATTCTTTTTTTTTTTTGGTTTTCGAGACAGGGTTTCTCTGTGTAGTTTTGCGCCTTTCCTGGAACTCACTTTGTAGACCAGGCTGGCCTCGAACTCACAGAGATCCGCCTGCCTCTGCCTCCCAGTGTTGGGATTAAAGGTGTGTGCCACCACCGCCCGGCTAGATACATAATTCTTAAACACTACTCATAAAGATAATGAATGCTATACCTCATGCATCCAGCACTGAAATTGAATAAAGAACTATAATAGAATTCATATGGCAACATATCACATGGGGTGTGATCAGTGTAAAAGTCTTCCTATACAATTTTCCAGCATGACGCCAAATACTGCTTCATACCAAACTCCAGGAGGTGTAGATGTGTTTTGCTTCTGTAACTTCGCTCTTGTGGACTGAATAAACATTCCCATTTCTCAAAGTCTAACTCAGGTGCCATCTTCTACACCTTTCCCACAACGCCTGAATTAACTTATTCTTCAGCTTTATGATTTTTGTTTGTTTGTTGTCATTTTTGTTGTTTCAGGTTAATTGCTAATCATTAAATATAAAATATTTGAGTTGATGTTTTCTTTTCTTTTTTTTGGTTTTTCGAGACAGGGTTTCTCTGTGTTGCTTTGAGCCTGTCCTGGATCACTTGGTAGCCCAGGCTGGCCTCGAACTCACAGAGATCCGCCTGGCTCTGCCTCCCGAGTGCTGGGATTAAAGGCGTGCGCCACCACCGCCCGGCTAGTTGATGTTTTATTAATGTTATGTGTATGGCACATTTTTTTTTATTAAGTACTATAAAATTTTCTTTCATTCTTTTTCGAGAGTGTGTTATGTAGTTCAGTCAGTCATTGAACTAGTGATGTAGCCAAGGCTGGTCTTGAACTCCTGAACCTCCTGCACTATCTTCTGAGTACTAGGATTACAATATGCACTGCCTTGCTCAACTAACACTACATTTGATAAAATACAGCTAGTGTTATACTTTGTGGTAACTGGTTGTCTGATAAGGACTATAAAACTCTCACTGAAGGCAGTGTCAGTTAATTTGCACAATTCTATATAATAAATATTATAGATATAGAAATCAAATGCTTGGTTTTTGCCAAACATAATTAAAATCCTAAATACAAATTCAAGAACACTTGGTTCCAAATCCTATGAAAAAGTATACATTCAATTAAATGAATTTCTAATTCAATGCATTAGATTTTACTAAGGAGAATAATGCATGCATCTTTTAAAAATCCTAAATTACACTACTTACTAACACAAGGAAAATTCTTTCTTTGGCTTTTTAATACACTGTACTAGTGACGGATTCTTGTGTTAGTCCAAGTCCGGTCACTATGACACAATATTGCTATAACCTATCTCAAAGAGGGGAACATTTACTTGGAACCAGTTTCAGGTGTTAACCCACCATGATGGAGACGGTAAAGTGAGCAAGAGCAGGTCATCTCAGGTCAGCCAGGAAAGAGGGGGAAATAAGGCCTACCCTAGCTGGATTCCCTTATCATTCTTCCTCTAGCTAGGTTCATAGCCTACTGGGAAGCCACCTATACTAAATTCAAAGCATGTCTTCTTCTCTCAGCTAATCTTCTGTATATTCCTCAGAAACACACAAAAGTGGCTTTATAAATCACCCAGACATATCTCAAACCCAATTAAATCGATCAGATTCTTAATTCTACAAAAAATGATATTCATAAACATAAAACATGAGTACTTTCCCCTTTTTAAAAGGACACTGAGATAAATTTGATTACTGAAAATCCTTAAGAATATTAAACTTGAACAGACATTAAGAGAGAATGTTGTACAGTGAATGTTGCTTCTTGTATTAAGGGATTGCACAGATAATCAAAATAATACTAGCAATGCCTTCTATTATTTGTTTTTATTGAAATAAATTCTACTTTACATAATGTTTTAAAAAGACTTAAGATAGATCCCAACAAAGAATGACTGTGATCTGCACATCTACATCCTTCCTTGTAAACGTGAGATGGATTTATCTACTTGAAAACTTCCACAGACAAACATTTTAATATTCTTAATACACTAAAGTATTCATAAGATCATGAAGAAAATCATAATGACTACATAAAATAGGGATTAATTATCTGGGTTTTAAAAGAAGATATGAAAGGCAAATGGTCCTATGTTTGTGGTCATTAAACCTAGAAATATGTGCCTTAAATACTGACAAAATAGTATGGATTTAATGTAACAGTAAACAGTTATTTTATAATTTTATTCCAATACTTTCTACAAGGATTATAGCCCATATTTTGGGGGCTTCATATTGAGTCCATCTTTTTTTCATTAAATTCTCTTTATGTAAGCTTACCAGAAATTTAAAGTCATTTAGACAGTTTTATTGCCTCAATAAGCAAATTTTTAATGGCTAAGAAGCTTGTGACAGCTATATAAGTAATTTGAAAAGCTAATAAAGTTCATTAACATTTTATTAGGCAACCAAAATACCTACTGATCCTTTTTATGACACATTCCAAGTCTAAGGCAAGCCAACATGGCGATCCTATGTTCATTATTATCATAGTGATAAGCATATTTCCCAATAGGTAGCACACTCATAACCACCCTTAAAGGACTGATTACATGAAATGTTTAAAAAATTTAAAAAGAAAAAAAGTTAAATGGTTTTTACCTGATACTAATAGAAATATTAATTTAATAACTATTTGGTTTCTTTTTTGATCCAAAGACACTAAAATTAGTATTTGTTTGGCACTATCAATGTAGAAGATATGCTGTATGTTATATTTGGATACAAAAGGGAATTACATGCATGGATTGAGTATTAATCTTGATTCAAACCAAATGATTTCTTTTATTCATCACAACAGTTACTTGTCATGTCAATGGACTTGAATGACAAAGAACGTAAGTCACTACTTCATCATATTTTCTGAATACTATATTCGACTTTATCATCATCTTATCCTAAACTCATTTGAGAGTTTGAAAAAGGTCCCATGGTATTTTATTTTATATATAACCAAAATGAATTAGAAAGTTAATTAATTTTCTTAAAATTAGTAGTAATTAATATAAGTATTATAACATACCATGTTACTCCCAAGTTTGTCACAGTTAATGTGGCAACTTCAGAGAATTTTTGCAAATACAGCAAGTGTGACTTATTAAGATGTTAAAGCTTTACTGAAGGCCATGAGAGAAAAACTTTTGGAGAATTATAATAAAGGTTTCCTTAACAAACCAGACTGTCTCAGTATTTCTGCATATGAAAAGTCACACTATTTCTCTGAAATCTATTAAAGCCTTTCATCTCTATCAGCAAATGGATATATATTACACATGATAATTTGCTATGTGCAGGTAAAAAAATCGTTGCATTGTGATTACCATTATAATCTCCTGTGCAAATTTGCCAGCTATTTTTATTAATCTTTTCTTGACAGGGACTAGTCAGGCAGCGCTGGTGGACCTCATAGCTCTGACTCTCCTGATCTCCATCCCAAGTGCTGGGATTGTAAACATGAGCCGCGGTGCTCTGCTGAGCCATGACAGTCAGGTTCATACTGTTTTGGTTTTCTTATCAAGAAAAACTGCACGTGTTTAACTTTTTCTGTTAAACAAAGGGCTATCTTAAGAAAGAATGTAGAAATAGTAAAGAAAAGGCACAGTTTGGAAACTCAGATGAGACAAAGGATTAGAGAAAACATTTTACAACAACCCTTCCTGAAGGCAATAGAGGTCAGTGAGAGTTGTGTTTACCTGTCTCTATCTGGAGAATAATGGTCATCCATGACCCGGTGTCTGTCCATTCGGCTAATTGTATTGTAATGACCAGGAGCACGTGTCCCTCGAAGCCCCTGTTCCACATTCCTGCTAAGACAGGAAGAATATTATATATCTGACTAATCTATAGCATAACCCCCACAAAATGATAATAAAATCTATTTATTTGGTTTATCTGTATCTCTGATTGAATAAATTGTATTTGGAAATGAACAGTTAATTGAGGATCTGGCTGCTTTACAGATACAAAAAGAGCCCATTAAGAGAATATCCTTCAGGATAAGATAAACAATATCATACCTTACTGATGGGCAACACCAGTTCTCTATAATTGATAATCAGTGATATACTATACACTAGAGGGAAAGGTTTATGAGAAGATAGGTTCAATGTTGCACACGCTTTTTAGCATGGGCCACAGGAACGGTGGGAGGGGTGCCTTACACATGGTCGGACCTGAGTTCAAATCTCAGAAAAATCAGTACCTATCCAATTGTAAACATGTTCTCTGGTAGCACTCTAGCCTAAACTACCACCTTTGTGATTTATTAAATTATAGTTGTCTAACTGTTATCTTACCTAAATCCTTCCCTTATCTAGTCTGAATACGGTAGTCCTTTGAAACCATGGAATGAATGTTAAGATTTCATTCTTGGTGATGGACTAGACTCCTGTCCTTTGCAAATCATCTTTTTCATTAGTTTGCAATGCCACGCTTGTATACAGAGGAATGTATAAATACATAGGCAAATCTAATATACATATTTATCTATATTGTACTAGCGAGTCAAAATCCATTAAATAAAATTATATCTTCATATATTACACATTTTTTTTTATTTATTATGTCCCTGAACTATCATGCATAAATTATATATAGTATTGTCTGTGGTTTATACTTCATGTAGCTCTTTGATACCAAATTAGGTTGATCAGAGATTTCTAATATTATAAGATCTAGAGCAATAGATTGGTATGACCATTTCTCTTTCTACTCATGCACTATTTTTAGTTTTTTTTAAAGATTTTTTAAAAATCTTTTTTAACTTACCAATTATTATATGATTCATAAATACAATTATTTGGTTCTAAATGGATCTGCTTAATATTTACATGAAATCCAAAGCTAGTTTTTCTTAACTGTTTTGAACTCTTAGGGCAAGTAACACACAGATCATGAAATGAAACTAAGCCATGTCACATCTTAGTCCCATTGCTAAGGCATCTGATTTTTCTTTAAAAGAATGTTTTAAAGAATAATATATTTTTAGAGGATATAATGGTAATCTATGTAAAATTCACCCTAACTTCTGTGCTGTAAGCAAACCGACCCATTCTCTTACCTTTGTGGGGGAGGGGCACTCGGTGACCACGACCTAGTCCTTCCTATAGCATCTACGCGGTGGGGAGACCCTGACGGTGAACAGTGGTTTGAGGACATTACTTGTTCTGGCACTGACAATGTGGAGCTTTGAAGATCACGACCATTGTGCCGGTAATCTAGAGGAAGAAAATAAAATAACTATTATCTATACACTAAGTTCTTTGTGTTGCACTAAGGAACATAAAATACTAGTAAGGCTGGAATACTTTTAATATGATAAGTGTAGAGTAAAACAATTACAGTATAACATGTTTGAAAAGTTGTAAGCACAAAAATGAAAATGGAAAGACATTTGATACTTAGGTAGTTACTATGTTCACTGTATTGGGTAGGGTAAAAGTTTAAGTTCTTTTTAAAAATTGACCAAGATTGTTCTAAAAATATTTCATCTGTAGAAACTTAAATGTTTCTTAACTATTGTTAATATTGCCAAGTTCCTAAGATGCTTCATAGTCTCCATTTACACTTTAAATAAGGTAACCCATACTACGTATGTAACACTCAATGACATTTTTCTTGAAATACTTGGCAGAGCTACGACCCCACAGTAGTCTGAAAACAAAACTAACCCTCAAAGAAGGGGAAGACTGCAGTGACTCAACATCCTCATAGAAGTTAACATTAGGAAGTACAGACACTCGGATGGGGAGAAAGAGGGGACTCTGCACGTCAGCAGAGCAGCAGTTCGATGTGGAGAGGCCAGGGCCATCTCCTGAAGCTCTATGGATGTGAACGATGTATATGATGGAGAAGCATGGACACAGCTGAGCAGAGCATGGGACACTGCTGCCATCTGGTCATTGTCATCATGTGCAGTGCAGCTGTTAGTAATCGGTCACTTCTCCACGAATATCTGATGGTGGGCACTTCCTAAAACACACTACTGCAGTGTGCATTTCCTAGATTATTTAGAAGCTCTGAGGGAAGCTGAGAAGCAGCACATGTGCTTCGAATGCACAAGGCCCTAGGTTCATGCCCAGTACACGTCGACCTTAACTGATTATAAAGAGACATAACTCAGAAAAACCACTTCACTCCTATGTGGCTTCTGAGCAAGTTAATGTTCTGCAGGAAGACTGGGTCCCATGGAACAGAGCAAAAGATCAAGACATAAATAACTGAAGAGGGAGCCAATGAAATAGAAGAGGAAATTTGAAAGGGAAGACACTAAACGGAGATGTAGGCTTATACCAATCCCTCTGAATTCCGGCATTAGCAGCTGTGCTTTTCAGCGAAGGGAATGCACTTTGTAATTTTTTAAAGACAAGCACTGACAATGAGTAGAAAAAAGGCAAGGTACTTATCCAGCAGACAGTTTCTATTTCTCTAGACACAAACTGCCTCAGGGAAGAATGGCTGTGAATTGTAAGCAACAGACATTGGTAGCAGCTAGTAAGGACATATTTCTGTATACATACATACATGTGACACTGTGGTAAATAAAATAAAAATTTTATATATATTTGTCCATATACAAAATCATTTTCATAAACTTGGAGATAAAACATATACATAATCATGTACATGCATACATGATTATATATGCTTTTTAAGTGAACAAAATGATAACAATCAAATAAAGAGAAAAGTATAAGGAATTTGTTATTGTAAATTACATAATCTGTGAAGTACTATTTGAAAGTGGATTTGAAGTAGTTATATATATGTGTGTGTGTGTGTGTGTGTGTGTATGTGCATATGTGTATATATATGTGTATATATTCTAGATTAACTACCATAGAAAGCATTTAAAAAAAAAGGTAAAGGTTAAGAAATTAACAAGTTCAAGTTCCACAACAGCCAGGGCTACACAGAGAAACCTTGACTTAAAAAAAAACAAAATTAAAAAAAAAAGAACAAGAAAAAAGAAAAGAAATTAACAAGTCATATAAATGTTCAGTTAAAATCAAAAAGGCAGAAGAAACACAAGTTTAAAAACAGGAATAAAAAAACAGTGGTAATAAAAAAAAAAAAAAAGCCCTAGCAGATATTTAACTGTATCAACAAACCACTCAAATGATAGTGGTCTATGCACAGTAATTAAAATGTGGATTGATGAAGTAAAAAAATAATCTCCGGGAACTGATGATCATAGGAAGTTGTAGAACAGAAGGCTAAAATATGTAACAACCAAATCGCCTTCTTATAACTATCAATGAAAGCTGGAATTTGAAATTGAAAAGCCAATACCAATTATAATATCACACCCCCAATAATGAAATTCTTAAGAGCACTCTAACAAAATATAAAGTAGATCCATATGAAGACATCAACAAAACTGAATAATAAACTGTATTATAAGGGGATAAAGGGAGAGATAGTCTATAAAACAGGAAACTCAATATTAAGAAGAAACCAATTATTTTTTACCAATTCAATCTACAGATTCAATGTGATTCGATAGAAATTCTAACAGTTTGTGGGTACTGACAAATCACTTTTAAAGGTTATGTGGAGAAGCAAACAGCTGAGAATGTACCAGTACTGATTACCAGACTGTACCAGACTGACTGGAGGAACATTAACTACTTAGTATAATTTCTAACAGTCAGAACTATGGTGGTATTTTATTTGTACTGAAATGTGATTTTAACTGTATGTTAATAAATAAAGTTGCCCAGGGGTCAGAGCTATTAGAGCCATAGCAAGAGCATGGCGGTGGTGGCACATGCCTTTAATCCCAGCACTTGGTAGGCAGAGCTAGGTAGATCTCTGTGTGTTCAAGGATACAGCCAGCATTGGAGACACACGCCTTTAATCTCAATACCAACCATAGAAGACCTGGAGGTCTCTACAGACAGGCAGTGACAAGGCAGTCATGTGTTTGGGTTTACAACCAATGAGAAGGCAGAACAGAAAGACTATATAAAGACAAACACACAGGAAGTAGCTCTATTTCGGAGAGGTCTCTTGGCTGAAGAGGCTAGCTGCAGGGTAAGGTTCTTAGCTCTGATCTCTTGGCTTTCTTTTTTGCATTGGTTCTGTGTTTCTTATTTAATAAGACAGTTGGTTACATCTACACAGAACATTGTAGATAGGCCAAAGAATAAAGCACACAGTGGAACATAGAATGGCTAAGAAATAAACCAACAAAAAGATGTTCAACAGGTCTTTACCCAAGGACAAAAGCAAAGCAATACAGTGGAGCAAATATAGCCATTTCAACCAATTGATATGAAACTCCTGGACTTTAACATAGAAGAAAATGAATCTAGGATGTTAGAAAGATGGCTCAGCATGAGGGTGGTGGAAGACTCTGGAACCATGGACTAGAAAAACAATTGAATGCATTTAACAGAACATTTTAGTAGACCCCTGGAAGGGAGCAACTTAGACAGTCCAGGCCCGGGCCATGAAGTTCAGAGGGTGACAAGGACTCTATCAGCGACTAACCTCCAGGCAAGTTCTGTGACATTCTGACAAAGAGTCTAGCTGTGTCCTGCATGTCCGGAGTTCTTGCCTAAGGCTACATTTTTGAAAAATGGGCTAATTTCTTTAGTGGAGGAATTTTAAGATAATGTAACAATGAATCTGTGCAATGATTGTTGCAGATATTCTTAGGCAAGTCTATAATTAAAGAGAGCAGCAAGCAGAGCAGGAACAATTTTAAGCTGTGAAGTTTGGGGGGAGGGGGCACGAGAAAGTTAATGTTGCTTCCAAGCAGAAGAAGATGGAAGTATTAAGATTAGTGCTCTCGAAGACAAGCCTCCTGCTCTGCATTAGAAAGAGAGAAAAGGGGATCACAGGGCAAGATGCCACTCAGTTAAAGCTCCACTTTGTACAATGAAAAGCCTAAGGGATGTCTTACTACTAAAGAGCAGCTGTGCATAAAGCTGTTCCTAAAGTGGCTCAGTCAGCTGAACACAGAAGTGACAGTCACATCGGAACAACAGAGAGGAACATTGAGGGATCATGGATTCTTCTGTGTGGTTTCAGAGTGCTGCTGACCAGGCCATGTGTGATAGGCTCAGAATCCCTGCATCAATGCTGAGGTCAATGGATGACAGTGTAAAGGAGAAGCCTGGGTGACAGTGGAGACTCAGAGATGTTGGAGATGCCAGGGCCTCGAGATGTCTGCCAAGAAGAGCTGCGTACATGGAGTGGAACCAGTCCAAGAAAGAGATGTACGTCACAGGCAGCAAAGCTGAAGGACAGAGCCATTTAGGCCCTTTGAAACTGTGGCTACAGACACCAGACATGAAGCTTGAGAACTTGAAGTTTTTCTTATTGGGTTTTGGTCCAGTCTTTATGCTCCCACTCCTTTTAAATGTATTTCTTTCTGCTGGATATGGTGGCACACACCTCTAATCCAGGCACTCAGGAGACTGAGGGAGGTGGATCTCTGTGAGTTTGAGGCCAGTCTGATATACAAAGCGAGTTCCAGGACAGCTAGGGCTGTTATTTAGAGAAACCCTATCTTGAAAAAACCAATAAACACACACACACACACACACACACACACACACACACACACACACACACACACACTCCTTTTAAAGTGTATATATAGATATATTAACTATATCTATTCCTCTTTAAAAGGGAACATATATTCTTGTTAATGTATATTAGAACTATAGGGCATCACATTTAAGACATTATCTTCAATTTTAAAAGGAGCTAGATTCTGGACTTTTGAATAGTGTTCAGACTGTTAAAGATTATGGGGATTTCTGAAGTTGGACTATACATTTTGCATTATGGTATACCACACAGCATATAGATCCAGGAGCCAAATGTTGTACTTGGATGAGGAACTTCCTCCATGGGCCCATGTATTTGAATAGCTTGTCCCTAATTAATGGCACTGTGTGGGGAAGATATAGAACCTGTAGAAGACAGAAACTTCCTAGCAGAAGCATGTCACCGCAGGTGGGTTTGAAGAGGTTTATAGCCTTGCCCCAGGGGCCCCAGGGAGGGGCAGTGTCTGTCATGAAACTCACAAGGTCTGCCTTCATGAGACTTTATGAGGTGTCTTCCCCTTCCTAAGATTATATACGCAGTGTCAATGAACTGGGCTGATAATCTTCAGTGGTGTACCGACCCAGAAGTTACCCGTGGGGCCTCATGGTGGTAGGACAATCACTGACTAACCCACCCTCCTGTAACTAATTCCGGCAAACACTTTGTTTCAGGAAGCTAGACTCGGACAAGGGGAAAACTCATTAGGTGTGTGGCACTAGCTTTTCTCGGTGTCAAGTTTCTTTACACCCCTCTCATGAAAAGTCATGCAACAAATGTGAATAATAAATAAATCTCTACTTGCCCCCAACACACAACTTCTTTAAAAGTACAGAAAAACCCAAATGGTTCAACCTAGTCTTTTTGTGGAGGGGGGAACAGAGAAAAGTTCTTTGATGTTGTTGTGCACAGGACTGGCCATGGTGGTTTTCTCTAGTTGTCAAGTGGACACAGCAGACAGACTATGGGAGTCTCAATAATGTCTCTCCTACAGTGAGCTTGCCTGCGGCTATGTCTGGGTAGAATTTTCTTGATTACTGAACTGAGGTGAGAAGAACCTCCCACTGTGGGAGACACTCTTCCCTGCATAGAGAACTGCATACGAGCGAAGAAGGGAAGCTGATTGTCAGCGTCCATGCATCATTCTCTGCTCTTGAGTGTCGATGACTAGTTGCTTTGAGTTCCTACTGGAGATGAGGGACACAAACTGGATTCATCAGCTAAAATAGACCCTCCTTCCATAAGCTGCTTCTTGGGTCAGGGCATTTTATCACAGTAACAGAAATAAAAAGTAGGACAGTGAATATATATAACTAGGACAGTATACTTCAGAAAACAAGAAAAAAATAATAGTTTCACCATATGGAAATAAATGTTTGCGGGGACAGATGTTTATAGATTTAAACATGAGAAGCAATATGTATAGGTATTAAAACACAACACATTACTTTACTAATACACATCAGTTTTAATTTTAACATATCAGTCCAAAATTTAAAAAACTAATTCAGGACTCAATAAAGATGAATAATTTTTTTTATCTTGAAAACAAAAAATGAAAGAATGTAGGCATGCCTAAAAACGACATTGGAATGAATTGTTTTCATGATCTGAAGGGAACTGGTAAGGTGAAAAAACACTAAGGTCAATGGATACTTAAGAGTAAGAAGTAAAATTAGTCAACTACAAAAGGAAGAGAATATGAACATGAAAAAGACAGCAATAATATCAAAGAAAAATCTACAGAAGAAGTAACTGAGGTTGAATCTCTAAACTATGTGAAAAGTATAAACAACTTTTGCAGTCTTAGCAATTACTATATTGTTCATTCTTAATAAGAAATAAGGCAAAACACAGCAACTGAGTTTTTACAGGTAGTTTACTGACTATGGCATGCATACCTTACTCTAAAAAATCTATCAAAAAGTCAGCAATCACCAATGTAGTTATAGCAGGTCTTACACATAAAAACTATCTTTTCCTGAGTAAAGTTAACTATAATTATGAGATTTGTTAGAGTAATTAATCGAGCAAATTATAAATCTAAGAAGAAGACTAAAATAAATTATTATATAATATTAAGGAGACATTAGTGATGAAATTTCAATTATATAATCAATTATGTGAAAAATTATACCATTAATCATAAAAGCTCATTATTGAATTGTTTTAAAATAGAAAGTTTATAAATATTTTCTTACCAAGGGCCGGCTTCTTTAAAGAATATTCATTCTAACAATTTGCATAGTATTTCCAGCAACTGTTTGGAAGTTTAGGTTGGCAAGGTTTTCTTGAGGTTATTTTTCGAAGACATGGAAGCAAATTTGTATTCTTCAGTTTGCTGATTTTGATGATAATGGCGACCTGCACTCCCTTTTTACACTACAGAAGAATTCTAAACACTTACCTGATACTACACCAACGCCATCGTCACAATCATAGTCAGAGACCTCGCTGTCGCTCACTCTCTTCGACCCTAGAAATAAGTGAGCCATGATTAAACTTGATGGTTGTTCAGAAGAAGGAAGAAAAGCCTACTGAAGGTGAAAAATAACTGAAAGCATTATAAATACTTGATGATAGAGGAAAAAAGAGGAAGGTTATTACATGCTCACCAACACTAATTTTCACAGACATTTCATGAGGTTAGGATACAGATCACAATGAGGTAACAATTAATACAATTATTTAGAAACATGTAAGACAAAATTTGTAATGAGTAAAAGTCTATTGAGTACAAAATATATAATTAAAGTCTACTGAAAAATAATTGGTAGCATTAGACGCTTTGGGACGAAGGCAGTTAACCCAGGTAAATTTCAAAGCACAGAGATAGGTTGTTTTCCAAATCATTAACATGTCACTTCCTGATATAGATAACTAAGAACTTGGAAGCTAAGTTTTATTACACACGATCATAGAGAATTTCAGAATCGATTCATGACATCTTGAACGTTATTTTTTCCTATTATTTTGGGTATTTTTTCCATTGATTCAAGAAGACAAGAAATAAATCACATATAAAGCTAAATGCTAGTCGCTCTGTGGTGATTTCTAAGAAGAGGACCAGGAGCACCAATAGGTTGTAGAATTTAATTACATCATAGACTAGCTTTTTTTTTTCTTATTTTTGAGGTAAGGCCTCACTATGCAACCTTGGCTGGCCTGGAACTTATCGTGTAGAGCAGGCAGGCTTTTATCTCACAGAGATTTGCCTGCCTCTACCCATGTTCATCACTAGGAATTTTAAGTTAATCTCAATACAGTAAAACTGACATTTTTTGAATAAAACAGAATTTTAATGAATGTACTTTTAAACTTAATTATGAAATATACCATGCATAGAAAGAAGTACTAAATTTTTAACAATATGTGTCTCAGCATAGACACACTATGCAACAGAATCTTTGATTACAGTTTTTCCTCTATCTTGGTATCAGAAGACATTTAATGATGAATAATGATAATGGCAGTAGTGCAGTTTCTCAGCCTGATTTGTTTTGTCTTTCATCACATACCACACACCATTCATCAAGGACTAGTTTCAGAAATAAATGCTTTCCTATATAGTCAAAAAGAAAACTGGATGACATGTAATGAATACGGTCCTCCAAGCAGAGATATCAAGATGGGTCAGGAGTGCCTTCTAATCATACATGCATCTGTCAGAAATCCTCTGTATTCCCCATAGTCGTTTGCTTATTTGTTTTAGGCCATGCCCTTTTCCTGGAGAGAAAGTGTATGAGTCCAGCTAGTGCAGTCCCCTTTTCTCCCTTTAAAGGAAAGGGAGATCACACCTCACACCTCGCTTTTGTATCAAGTAATTTCCTCAAATAAAATCCCCCACAACTTATATCAGAAAGCTTCAATAAAAAACACAGACATAGCGGGGGAGTGGTGGCGCACGCCTTTAATCCCAGCACTCGGGAGGCAGAGGCAGGCGGATCTCTGGGAGTTCGAGGCCAGCCTGGGCTACCGAGTGAGTTCCAGGAGAGGCGCAAAGCTACACAGAGAAACCCTGTCTCGAAAAACCAAAAAAACAAAAACAAACAAACAAAAAAGAACACAGACATAAAAAAAGCATAGACATTGTTGGGAGGTGGTGATGCATGCTTACGCCTTTAATCCCAGCACTCAGGAGGCAGAGGCAGGTGGATAAGTAAGTTCCAGACCACCCTGGTCTACAGAGTGAGTTCCAGGAATACACCAAGAAACACTGTCTGTCTAGCATAGACATTTATATGAGAATTACTTGACAAATTTCCAACAAACTGGGCAGAATGGAGTGTACAAAGCTAGAGCATACATTTTAGAAGAGTTTTGCCAGAAAAAGATGACACAGACGGGGCTATAACAGAGACACTTAAGCAAACTGCCTCCCACCCAATTTATAACAAAATGTCTTTTTGTACAGGTCCAGGTATGAGGTTAACAATTGCTATTACAGGTACATAGTACAAAGATGATAAGTTTTTACTGTCAGCCAAGGGTTAGAACAAGAGTAACACCAGAAAAAGACAAACTAATTTTATCAATCTTTGTGATCTGTGCTGTGTGTGTGTGTGCCTGTGTGTGTGTGTGTGTGTGTGTATGTGTGTGTGTGCCTGTGTCTGTGTGTGTCTGTGTGTGTGTGTGTGTGTGTGTGTGTGTGTGTGTGTGTACGTGGAACAAAGATGCATACACTAAGTCAAAGACTGAAAGTCAGGCATTTGAGTTAAGCAGAACAAATGCTAGTTTCTTCTAATTCTTATGGAATTGAGATTTTATGTTTCCATATTAACCTTAAAGAAGTTAAAATGTGCTGTAACTAGGTTCAGTGTACTTGGATTTTGTCTTTTTAACATTCTGATGAAGTCAAGGTTTAGATTTAATTGGTATATTAGTTGTTTGTATTAAAAACAGTATTTTCAGTGTCTCATTAGTAAGAAACATTTTGTAACTACAGAAAATGAATTTTCTAAGTCTTCCTCTGAAAACTTCGAAATTGTTGCCTTTTGCAATTATATCCACATTTATTTTGAATGTAGATGCATATAAGATGGAGACGACATTTTCTCCTATGGCTAGCACATTTCTTAACATTACTCATTTGATACTTATTATCTCCCAGTCATCTGTGACAGAACCTGTGCCATAAATGAATGCATCCTCATCCTTCTCATCCTGGTCTGCTTGCCTGTTTGTGTTTTAAATAAAGAGAAGGATGCATGGACCTGGGAAGGTGAGGAGGAGCTGGGGGAGGGGAAACTTGATCAGAACACCTTCTATGAAAAAAACATTATCAATAAAAACCAGGATCTTTAAAAAGGCAAGTTTTTTAAAGATAATAAAAATAATTACTATGCATGATTAAATGTTGCAGTAGAAAATAAATAAACCATAAAATCAATTTGACAGGAGCTGGAGAGGTGGCACAGCAGTTAGGAGAATTTGCTCTTGCAGCAGACCTGGGTTAGTTCCCAGCTCCCACAGGACAACTCTACTCCAGGTGCCAGGGACCTGAAACCCTCTTCTACACTCTGTGGATGCCAGGCATGGACATGGTGATGTACATACATGGAGGAGACCAAACACTCACACACATAAAATAGACACATTCTTAAAAATTTTAACAAACTGTATATACTTTCCATGTATGCATGTGAGGAGTCTAAATCCATTTTGAAGTGTAAGTGCTCTACTGACTGTGTTTATTTGCAATTTGTGTTCTTTGTTTTGTATTTTCCCTAATTTATTTTTACTTCCCTAATTTTTTTACTTGACTTATCAATGAAAAAGTTAATATCCTAGAGTCTCTTTCAATAGGGAACAATCTGATAATATTCTTTCCAGCATAACTTATGGTTTATTGAGGGTATAGTAATACACGGAAGTTGAAAATTATCTCCCCCCCCCCCCCCCCCCCCCCCCCCCCCCGTGTTTCAAGACAGAGTTTCTCTGTGTATCCCTGGCTGGCCTGGAACTAGCTTTGTAGCGCAGGCTGGCCTGGAACTCATGATCCTCCTGTCTCCACTCCTTTAGCAAATCCTACCAGAGTGCACAACCATCAGCAAAAATAATTTCGATAGATAAATAAAAACTTTTGAAAAAGTTTAGCCCACACTCAAGATAAATACCTTATCAGACTCATAAGAAGCAATTTCTTCAAACAATCAAAGTTATCTATAATACCTATGACTAAAACCACATATAATTATAAAATATTGTATGCTGTCCCTCTGGTGCCAAGAACGATAAGAGGCATTCACTCTAAAGGTGAGCTGTCTATTCCACACTTAACTGTATGTTCTAGACAAGGCAGTAATACAGGAGAGAAATGAGAAGAGGGTAGATAACAGGACAAGAGGCAACATGATCTGAATTGGGAATTAGAACTTGCAGGGAATGAAGGGATGGCTCAAATGTTATGGGCTGCTCTTGCAGAGGACCCAAGTCAGATCCAGGCAAACACTTATGGCAGCTCCCAACTACCTGTCACTCCAGTTCCAGTGGACCCCAGTTCCTCTGCTGGTCTGTTCTGGCACCTGATCTCATGTGCACAAATGCATACACAGACACACACTTACACATACAATAAAAATAAAATAATTTTAAAAAATTTAAAAAAGGGTAAAGACATGGTAACTAGCAGATTTGCAGGATGAATAATATAAAGGTGAATTATATTTCTTACATGAAATAAATGAGCAATTAAGAAATTCATTTTAAAACTTATACCATTTATAAGAATAATCAATGATAAAATAATTAGGAATGCACACATGTTCATTCCAGACTACAAAATACTTCTGCATTAGTTTCTTAGAGCTGCTACAAGAAAAAGACCAAACAACAACAAACAAACAAACAAACAAACACACAAAGAAGACAGCCTGAAACAGCAGAACTTTACTGCCTCACAGTCCCGGGGCCAGAAGCCCTAATTCAGAGGCAGGGCAGCTCCGGTTGCTTGTCTCTAGCTGGTCAGGCTTGCCTGACAGATGCGTCACTCCAGTACGCCTGGCACCTTCTCCGTGTATGTATTCAGTCTTCCCTCTGTGAATTCTGCTCTTTCTGACACAATCTCTTCTTTTGATCAGGCCCCAGTCATACTAGATTACAGTATAACTTGATTACTTTCAAAAATCTCAATTTACAAATCAGGTCACATTCTGAAGTAACCAGAAGTTAGGATTTCAATGTGTATGGTTTTGAAATTACAATTCAAACTAAAAAAAAATACAAATGATGTAAAAAAAAAGGCTCTACACATTAAGAGAATTTCTTTAAAACTAGAAGCCACATATAATGCAATCACAGTGTTAGAAGACTAAGAAAAAAAATTAAGTGATTAAGTGATAGAAGGATTTTAAATATAGCTAAATTTTGCATTAGTAATGAAGAAGAAATGGAAATGTATTCGGAGTGCAAAGCCAGTTTCCAACATCACTGAAAGAAGTATTTTATACTCTTCAAAAACAAACTTGGGACTTGGGT